TGAGAGTTACACGTCTGGACCATGTGGAAATTCCAACAAAACTGTTGAAACTGCTGACAGGCAATTACCGAGCATCTGAAACCCTCTGAAAAAAGGTCCCAACTGTGAGTTAAAATCTGAGAATCTGCTTGATTCAACTTTTAGTTTAATTGTCACCGAGAAGAAATTAAAACCCATGCTAACTCCTGGTTAACTCCTAAACAGCCATATCTCTCCCCCACAACCATCATCACTAATCTCTCCACACCACTCCACCTACATTTCCCCACTTCACAGACACCCATCCACCCCTCTCAATGCAGCCTGAGTCTCTAACTCATTCTTCCCTGATCAACCCAAACCCATAACAACCACAACACGGATGTCGGCTTACCAACCAACCTACCCATCTGCCACCAAATCTGTGCCACTTTGACCCTGCCATCTCATCCACTTACTAGTCCTCCAGCTACCCCATACCATTAATGAAATCTTGTTCACCTGTACTCAATCACTAGGCATAATCAATAACAGTGCCAACATTTAAAAAAAATTTAAACGTAATATTTAATCCAAAAGAACATTCCTTTTTCAGTAATCTATGAGAAATAACACTTAATGGTCAAAAGAAACAGGAGAATAATATAAAAGCAATAATACCAAAACACACAAACATTTCATTACTCTTAGCTTATGTAAATCCCTATGCTGTCTGCTGTTGCCCTTAAGGGGGGTTCCCAGGGCCTCTGGCATCATGGGAGTAACACAGGCTCACCTCCCTTATGCTGTATTAAGTCCAAGACAGCAGACTATGATGGAGACATCCAAGACCAAGAAGACATGGAAGTCTGGTGTAAAAAAACGCAAAGGTAAATGGGCATTTCCTCAAAATTACCATCACATGTAATGATTCCAATGGTAATCACAATTTGTGGACCTAGCTCTTCTAAATTCTCCCTATTCCTCAGCTAATGTCCAGTTAAATGCTAAACAGAATTGGTCTACCGGTTCTTCAAATGCAAGGAGGGAGGACAGATTTGCACTGAGCTGATGGCAACAGACCAATTTAAATCCATCTGTTTACACAGGTAGAAGCTTTAACCCCACATTGATAAAAACATACAGTTCCTGAAACTAAACAGGTTGTTAAATTGGATGGAGGTGTGGGATGATAATATTTTGAATCAGAAATGAGAAAACATGTACACTCAATACTAATGCTAAGAGTATAGAAGCAGAGAGGTGCATGGAGTTCAGAATCAGATCAAATCAAAATCAGAGAACAACATAATTAAACTTTAAACAGGGCATAGAGTACATTTAGTACATGACAAAAATAAGTGAATCAAAACACTAGTCAGTGGTTGGGCCACAGACTGTAGTGTCAATTTTTGCATGCCTTTTACAGAAGGTAATGAAGCCAGCAGATATGGGGACTAGTTATCATGGATTTCAGACAAAAAAAAAGTCTAGAGAAACTGGAATTCTTTTCATTGCAATATAAAAAAAAAGCATTGTTCAAAATTATGAGATGTTTTAAGGTAAATTAGAAAAATGAATTTCTCCAGTCAGATGACAAATATTAAACAAGCACCGAAAGAATAAGGATAAGGTTTTTTTCTCTATGCGGAGTATTGATTGGAAATGAAATGTCTACCACTAACAGTAATGAACCAAGTGATTATTTTTACTAACTTTTAAAAACAACGTGGACAAATTTGTTGATATGGATTAACAAGCTACCACAGGAAGTGGTAGAAGTGGGTACAATTGCAACATTTAAAAGACATTTGGATAAGCACATGGCTAAGAAACGTTTAGAATGAGAGACAACAAGGTGCAGAGATGAATTACTGTGGTAGCTTGTTAATCCATATCAACAAATTTGTCCACGTTGTTT